TACCGTCAGCAATTTCACTTTACAGAATATGTAACTGGCAAAATAAATGAGTAATATATTATTTTTTGGGTGCCATGATGATCAAGTGTCATGTAAATAATGTTACGTGTTCATTTGGCTGTCCAGGGACAACATATGGTATGAAGACGTGATGCTAAAACAATTGATACTGTACTGTAATTACAACTTAAAAAATAAAAATATCTAGTGTAAAGATGGGCATATTTTCATTATTTAGTCAGGTAAAGTTGCACTGTTATCTTGAATGGAAAGCACTTTGGACAAACCTCTGTTGCTTTAAATGGGCTATATAAGAAGTAGTGATGTGACACTATAATCATAATTCCAATGGATATTTAATATTTTTAGACAAATTAAACACTTTGAAAATGACACATGAGGCTACGAGTGCCTGTGGTAGCTATTTGTCTTTATTTGTCCAGATGGAATTCATAGGTCACTTCAGGTATGATACCACCTGACAAATCATTATGCTCAACATTCTAGCTGTAAAATACAGATTGCAGGGGTTATATTCAGACTAACTGTGAGTAGCTATACTGCAGCACACAGCAGTCACAGCCTATAGGCTACTGCTGAAACATTTAGAGCATCATTACCCTGATACAAGCCACTGTTTGTCAAAAAAAATCCAGCACCCCATCTCTCTGAGAGCTCACTGAGAGTCGAACAGGCAGGAAATAATATGTAGCTGTATTTACTGTTCTGCAGCATATATCATTTGCACTGTACTGTAGCTTTTCCTGATGTGTCTGTCACAACCTGCTGAGTCTGACTGCACAGCACATGACTCGACACCAACAAGTCAACACCAACAAGGAGATGCTTCACATGAACCCTGAGGGGGAACTACGCCATCCTGGATGTGTGTTTGTGACTCTTCATAGCTCATTATGTGTCAGAATGGATATGTGCCTGTATATGGTGACGGTTTTATTTGTGTCTATACAGTTACTCCTGCTTGGTTCAGACTCTTATACGCTTCTCCAGCGACAGATTACTCGTCACAAGTCTACATCCGCAAACTCCAAGTCAGGTTGTAAGTGTCCCTGAAGCTGACAGTCAACAACAGCACCCTCACCCTAACCGGTTAAGGCACATTGCCACCCTTCCTGAGCCTGGTGCTGCTGGGAGCTTTCTTTCTGTTAAATGGGAAATTGTTCCACCAAAGAGTTTGTGCAAAGGGGATCTTTGGATTTGTTGGGTTTCTCTCTATAATATAATTTTGAAAAATCTTCGCCTTACTATTTGAAGTGCCTTGAGATGAAATGTGCTGCGATTTGACACTATATGAATAAAACTGAAATAAAATGAATTGGAATAGCTTTAGGCATGGTACTATTGACCCATCAGTTGGACAGTCCATCAACTGTTGGACAGATTGCCATAAACACCAGCTTCATTCCACAAGCTGTCAGAATGCTGAACTACTAGATATGCAAACACTTGTTTATTTAAATTGCTTTAACTTATTGAATCCTGAAGAAACACTCTTTCATCTTGCCTGTACGACTGTGTCTGTACAGCAAAATGACAATACACTTGAGTTGATTTAATTTGATAAAATGTGTTAGACATTCATGATCCCCATACAATGAAGTTGACTATCCTTTGGCTTTTACTAGTCTCCACATTAGCTTGCCATTTTCAGCTTTCAGTTAACTATCTCAACATCTTTTTAATTGATTTAGCATGGCATTAGCTTTAGACATCTATGCTGTACCTCTCATGAAATGTCTTAACATTGAACGGATTGTTGTAAAATGCAGTAGATGTTTCAGTTTGCCCCCTTATGTTGAGATGTGACAGGGTTCAGTGATGCCTTCACTTTGATTTAATTGATTTCAATTTCAAAATGTCCAATATTTTAGTGTATAAGTACCAACTATAGCCATAAATTACATCGGCTTATATATCTTCCTGGTTCAACTTTGACCAACAAAACTTCTAGCTGTAGCTTTTGAGCCAGGCCAGTCACTCTCAGGATAAACAACTTCAGTGATGCCTCAACTTTGCATTTAGCTCAGATATCATATTAAAGATGTAATTTGATGAATACAGATAAAACAAATCACATTTTATTTAACGTCAGCCTCAGTTGTGCTTTGATAAACGATAAACTAAGGCGGTGCTGAACATTAGACCTAAGCCCCTTCTTTCCTTATCATCTTTGTAACCTATATACGTCTGACCCAAGTCCAAGTCTCAATCTCTGGTGAGATGTGTTTCTAATTTAAATCACTGCACAGTTACAGTTTGATTAATCAAGAGTGTTTCTGTGATTCTCTTCTCCTCCCCCCCATCTCTAGTCTAAATGGTAATGCACCTCCTCCATCACCTTTGTTCCCGTCTTTGTTCGTCTCCTCCGTCTAGCCCCCACAAATGGCTACTCTGGTGCAGTGCAAGCTAAAGATAAGAGTCCATACGCTCACACACACAGTCGCAATGTGTGACAAGCACGCATGCACACACACAGACTCTGGAGCCTTTTCCGTGGAGCATTGACCACCTAAGCACAAATACACCAGTAACAGGCTGCGTGGACACTGTATTTTAAGTGAGTTTTGTGTTCTTGACAGTTCTGTAATTACCTTTGGGTAAAAAAATATCAAAATACTGCAAGCACTTGTGCCCTGAGGCGAAATGCCGCATAGGATCAACAAAAGATTTGCGGGGGTCCTGCTTCCCTCTCAGACAGTCCGTCCAGACTGAGAGGAGCAGGGATTTCAGGATGAGATAGCTGCTCCTGCATATTTTACAACCTGTTCTGCAGCCATCTGCTCTCTGACACACTCGCGCAAGCACACAAGAATACAAACCAACACAATCGAGTCTACCTTCCAGGAATGTGCCTCTATTTAACAGACACTGCACCTGGTGATATGTGGGTAAACAAAGACGCAACCGCAAGCATGCGGACACGACTTAGTGAAAGGGTTGTCATTGTGGAAGACACCTCTCAGCAGCTCCCATCTATCACAACAGCAAGTTAAGCAGATTGCCATGGAAACTAGTTGTGACAATCCCACAACGCGTGCCAGAGTGGTCAGACAGCCTAGAGAAGACCTTTATGCTCAACAGGAACCAACTGCTGCGAACAGACCCGCTGTGGTCCTGCTTAATAACAACTTGTACCGCTGTGACCTTTGTACACAGTGTGCTGTAGTAAATCAGCCATTAGGTGAAGATACATTTACGCAGTTGGCAAGAGTCCCCAATTCTATTTTAGTGCATGATTTAATAACACTATCCTACTGATGCACATCCGATAAACTAGAAAAAGATTGTTTTCCGCCAAAGGAACTATTCAAACCCTCAAGTGAAAGATGTGAAGCGCTGAGCTGTGTGTGTAACTGCAGCAAGAAACACTCTTAGTTGGATATTCTAACAAGAGTTTGTTGCAATTTAATTTACGATGATTACATTTACATATTTTGGCACAGGAGGTCTTAAATTAAGCCTTAAAGCCAAGCACAGAGTCAGTGCTGAAATAATAGAATGTTCTTGATTGAATTTTTGTGGTCCAATACCCTTTAATGGAGGCCAGTGACCTTTTATTGAGGATAATATTAGAGAGTCTGGCTATCTTAGATGACACCCCTTGTGTAACCTGATCAAAGTTCTGATCTAAAGTAAGATAAAATTACAAGACACAATGTGAGAGAGAATTCAATTCAAGTCACGTAGTGAAAGTTTTAAGGATAATTCTCAGTTAGCAAAACTAGGCCTTATTATAACTTTTGCAGTCTTTCCTCTTGTTAGTCAGTCAGACAGATGGGAAGCACACCGAAAATATCTGTTCTAAACATCCAGCACACTTTACAGAACTTCCTCGGGCAGCTTTGACCAGTTCATCTCACCATAGATGTCGGCCATTAAGTCACGTTAACTATGTGAATTTTAGACTCATGTCAATGTTCCCCTCAGGATTCAACATCCTTAACTTCTAATCTAGCTCACTGTGTAAAAATGCTCACTTGTCATATGCTGTACTTTGGGCCATGACCAGATAACTCAATCAAACTTGGCTAAGCTCACCTGTACTTGATCTTGTGAGCAAGTAAGCAATCTAAAATTAATAGCCTTAATTGGTCTAGTCATCCACATGGACACAAATTGTAGGCTGCAAGTCGATGTCCAGGGGAAGGTGACGTGACGAAATTTATTATTTATTATTTCATGTCCAAGTAGAAGGTTTACACCAGCAAACTTAAGTTTTGTGCTACTTAGAACATATGAGCATGCTAACAGGCTCAACTAAGTCATAAAACTGGTAAACGTGACATCTGCTAACTATCAGTAAGTTATCATGCAGACATTGACACTTAGCTCAGAGCAATGTCTGATGTCTTACTGCTCACGTCTCTTACCTGTCACAGTTTGTTGCACCACTGTCGTCATGTTCCCAGATATCCCAGAAATGACTTTGGTGAGCAAATTATGATCATAACAGCAGAGAAGATGGCCATCCCAATAAAAATCAACCCCAGGTGGCAATAAACTGGAATGACCTGTTACGTGTCTGCTGAAAGAATTACAACAGGACCACAATGCTGCAGGTTTACAAAAAAGAAAAGACGCTCTGGAAACCTTTATCTCGAGACAAGTCGATCATCTTTTGCTTCTCAGTAGGGGCGTATCCCGCCCCATCTCTATCTCAGTCTCCCTGCCAACTTAAATAAACCAAAGTGTTCTTCTCTTGTGGTGATGGTGCAGCGGTGCAGTGCTGTGAACAGTGGATGGATCGCGGACGGTGTGGAAGAGCTGTGAAAGACAAAGCCACGACAGAGAAAACAGGTAACAGCATGTCCAGCGGACTGAGTGCTGATGGGAGAGAGGCAGGGGGGCGGGGACGCAGGATGGGGCCCTACCTCCCGTGAATATTGAACTTAGAACCCTAGCCACCATGGTGGGTGGTCGTGGTCGGTGGTGGTGGGGGGGTTTAAAGGGACACACAGAACATGCTGGAAACTCTGTACCTTTCAATGTGCCGTCAGAAAGGGCCCAACTCACCCCCGGAACCAATAAATCTAGAGGAATGAGACTGTGTTAGTTAGAGAGAAGCAGAAAGAAAGCAAGGAAGGAAGGATGGCTGAGAGTTAGAAACAGGAGAGAGTCAAAGAGAGAGAAAGAGGGAAAGAGGGATGGAGTAAGGCCAGAAGGAAGCGATGAAAGATTAAGCTGGTTTATGTTCCTATCTTTTGTCTTTCCAGTGATTCTGAGTCCACTTCTTTGGATTAACACTTTCACATTTTGTTTTGTAGCAATCCGCTGATTCGCAAACCACAGTTATCCGAACATAGCAGACATTTAGAGCCACCTCATAAGCTGTATGCCATTGAGTTACACCTGTGAGCTGTTTATTTCCAGGAGTAACCTTGCCTTTAGTGTTGCTATTTTGTTCACAAACCAACATGTAGACCTTTTGTCACCCTGAATAGCATTGTGTGTACAAAAAATAAAAAACGTTTCCTGGCAAAAAATGCCAAGCCAGACGAGGGGAGAAAAAAAAGACAAACTTTTCAACCAAAAACCAGAGAAGGAAAAAGCAAAAACAGGGTTACGAACCTATACATATGACAGAAGAAAAGGTAAAGGGCCTCTTGATGTATAAAATGTGTACATAGAGACTGTGTGTGATATGGTCTGGGGGAATTTTTCTCGATTGGTCAGACACCCTTGGTAGACACCTCCTGTAAAAGGAAGATCACTTTCCATCTGTATTTCTCAAGAGGTTGACGGAAACATTCCAGTGATAAAATAAAATTATCATCGAGAAGGAAATCAAAGGCTTTTACTTTTGACGTTAAGAAACCAATCGTGTCCACTGCTCCTTGTACAAAATATAAAAAAAGTCAGTGCCTTTGGAATACGTGGGTATAATAATGTAATTATAGGCACCGAATTCTCAAGAAGGCTAATGCTAGCAGATGCTAGCACTACTGTTTTGTAGTGGAGGAGGCAGTGGAAAGAATAAAAAACCAAACCAAGCAGTTTGTCACCAACTCCTATACAGCCGGAGGGGAGGGGGGACAGGCAGGGAATTAGCTCTTGCTCCTACGAGTCTCGCCCGAAGTGATCTGAGATCTTAGCTACGGGGAAACTCTTCATCCTTTCCTTCCAGATTTTGGTCTATCCCTGCCCCCGCGGCTGTACTAAACCACATGCAGAAGAGAGGAAGGGAGGGGGGTCATCTCCTTTTTCGATCAGGACGATTAAATGATCAACAACTCCCCCTCCCTCTAGCTCTGTATACCCACCACCATGCAAGCCCCGTATGTCAGCACTCACTGGGCATGCTCCAAGGGGCCATCCCAAGCACGGCGTCTACGGTAGACCAGGTAAGGTAAGGGAGGAGGGAAAGGGAGAGAGCTAACTCCAGCAGTCGGCTGTTCTAACTCTGCAAACCTGTTGAGTGTGGGAGCTTTTCTTAAAATCCAGCCTGATCAATTAGATGCTGGGGTTCAAGAAGAGCCTCCACAGTCTGTAGCAGAGTCTGCAGAGCCAGAGCAGGAGACCATCAGACTGCAACAAAAACTCGCCCGAGGGCTCACGGGTAGAAGGAAAAAGGATGGTCGAGGGAAAGGGGGAGATCTACCGCAGAGTAGCAACTATAGTTGATACTAGCTCACTAATTGCGCTCTTCCGAATTCGGCCAAACCAAATTAAAAAGCAAAAAGAAAAAAAGAAAAAAAAAAAAGGCTCAAGCTCAAATCAAGCAGGACTCAGAAAGATGTGGAAAGACTACCGACCAGCCAGCTCCTTCTCCTTACTCCGTCTCTTTTTCTCCATGCGTTTCAGTCTCTTCTCCTCCCTGCGTTTGGCCTCCTCGGCCTCCTGGTGGCGCCGACACTTGTGGAAGTTCTCCACCACCACGCCCACGAACATGTTGAGCACGAAGAAGGCGACGATTAGGAGGAAGGAGATGAAGTAGAGCAGCATCCATGGGTTGTAGTTCATTATCGGCTGAAACATACAAAAGAAATACACGTAAAGGATTTTTTTCCCTTTTCTATCGAGTTGTCTTCATCCTAACTTATTACTGACTGCTGGGTAAATATGTATCAGCGGATTGCTTGAAATGCTTTTATGCAGCGAACGTGACATGTTTCAGTTCACACTAGTGCACAGTTGAATATATTTACCTGTTGGTCAACTCCTACAGCATCTAGTCCATCGTACATAATATCCACCCAGCCATCTTTTGACGCCAGTACAAAGAGAGACATCAAGGCCTGAGACAGAAGAAGAAGAAGAGCTTAAACCTAAATACATACTATACTAAAAACAAGACTAGCGAAACACAATGAATACATTTATTTAGGTATTTATCAGGAATCTTAGGGTCCTACCTGTCCCAGGTTGTCAAAGTTGTACTTGCGCTTTTCCCATTCATACTTGGCTTGCAAACAGTCTGACTTGTTGGTGATGTTCCTCACATCCTCTCCTTTACAAAAGAAGAACTTTCCCTTGAAAAGCTGAAGAGAAAAAACACACGTGTCTGAAGCTGAAAAGGAAACAAATCCGTAAAACCAAATTATGTGGACCTGCATTTGGTTTCAGGGTTGAAATATGTAAATTCACTTGGACGGAGGAGAATTGCAATAAGAGAACCTTAACCTCTGAAGATGCTTTGATTTCATTCCAGTGGTGAAAGCTTCGACTGACCTTGTGAATGTGTTTATGTTTTAGCATGCATACCATTTCGCTAAGGTGCACCTTATCACCTCAGCTTTTAATGCATCGAAGACAAATAATGGGAAGAGTTAAAAGCAACATTTGCCCAGAACACGGCCTGGCACAGATTCCTGAACGGCTGCTCCAGGTTGCAGTTATAAAAAAGGAAGCATTTGGACTGCCAGGAGTGGTACTTAACAGCACAAAATACAGCATTGAATGTGTAGTAAAAAAAAATATGTCACAAAAAATTGTAGGTCATCGAAAGACCATTTTCGAATTGGCAGCATTGTGAACATTTCAGCGCCGGGGGTAACGGGGGCGGCGCAGTGAATGCTACAGAAGTCTGCTAATGTGTGAATATTGTAATCACTGCTTCATGGTATCGTCACAGCCATTAACCCTTCATGGCATTAGCTTACTTGGACAGATGGTTTATGGACAGTAACATGCTGATGGCAGACAAACAGGGGCTGGTACTGCACCAAGGGCACAGAGCTCATTGGTATGGATTGGTCCTTGGTCTGCTAGCCGTGAAATCTCCATTATGGCCGCATAAGCATACATAAGCACCCTGGCGTATGAGTTATAATGTGGAGAGTGCACGGAAAAACTATTGTTCTGCTAAGATTTTATGATGTACGTCCACCCAAGGCGGGGCAGGAGAGAGTGAAGAACTGGGAGAGTATTTGTCACAAGTCAAGCAGTTTTTGCTCACACTTTATTTTTTTCTGCATCATGGCCACCTCCCCTCCCTTCTCACCTGCACTCCCAGGATGCCAAAGATAATGAAGAAGGCACAGCAGATGACCACTATGTTGCCGATGGGCTTCAGTGACGACATCAGAGTCTCCACCACCAGCTTCAGCCCCGGGGCTCTGCTGATCACGCTGGAACATAGCATTATAATAGACTATTAGTGAACCGCGTGTGTGTGTGTGTGTGTGTGTGTGTGTGTGTCTGCAGGCCACTCTCAGGTCACTCACTGTACAGCCCGGACCAGATGGAGAAAGGATGCCTGCAGCGTTCCATCCCGCAACCTCCTCACACCCCACACTCACCCCCAGGCCCGCACCCCAGGCACACACACACATTTACACACACTTTTTTTCCCTCTTTAATTTCCCTTGTCTACCACAGTTTTTGTCTCATTTGAACTTTTCAGACCCACAACACTTGTTGGCTCATAAACACAGTAACTTTCACTCACTACCTCCTTAAAAAAAAAAAAGCCTCCCTTTTTTCCTCTCTTTCTGCTTCCTTTCTTTTGTTGCTGTCAAGGAAACAGACACATCTAATTAAGCCAATGGACTGATGAGGATGTTTAATTAGTGCCAGCAGGGCACCCAGCGCTGCACTGCACTGCAGCTAGGCTTCTCAGACAGGGTGAAACTCAACCCACATGTCTGACATAAAACCTAATGGACACACACTCATTTGTACAGGCTTTGTGCACATAAAACACATGATTTACAACAGCGCCTCTTCGTGTGCATGCACAAACACACACACATACCAAAGTCAATATGAAGTGACAGATTAGATACACACAAAAGGGCTAAAAGAGAGAAAAAAAAACAATGCCACACAGGCCAAGGTGCTGTTGAGGTGATAATGTGCCTTCCTGTTGTCTATTCGTCTTTGTCTGCACTGTATGTTTTCCCTCGAGCAGACAGTTGAGTGAAGGAAGAGTCAATAGCACATTAAGAGAAGACATGAGATAATAAGGGGCCTGGGCTGACCAAGGCCACACTGATCAATAGCTCTGATCAGAGAATAACGAGCCGTTGGATACACCTCATCAGCCTGCACCTCGCCGCCTCTCCTGATATTCCTCAGAAAGCCACATTGAGCCGAGGTACAGCCGATGACCTATAGAGGGCACTGGTGCTCAAGAGCTGCAGCTGCGAGTGTCTCCTGGTGGGATTCATGCTGTTATGTTATCAGGGTTTTTCCTGGCTCAGAAACGAGCCTTTGGGGAGCGACTAGACATGGCAGCAAGCATGATTGGTCCATGTACCGTAAAGGCTGACATAAACTATGCATTTTCCAAATGTTTCTGACCATTTGATAAACAGAAATATCAGCGCTTATGTCAATGAAACACGAGATGAAAAAAATTGTCAAAACAAAAGACTTTTTTTTGACTCAATTCCTATCATTTTGGCGGTGGTAGAATTCCTTTGGTGCTGGCTGAAACCTCACTGAGGGGAGCCAGAAATTCTTCAATGCAGAAAAACCTGGGGTAGGAGAACATACAGGCAGAAGGCAACTTACAAAAGAAACCTGAACCCTTGACTCCTATAGTGGCTTAGCTATGCTATGGAGGACATTTGGTGGCATGGTTTCGGCCCACTTGTCCCCTTCCATGGGGTACAAAAGATCACTGAACGGTTTGATGAAAACAATGCAAATCATATGCTATGGCATCCACAGTCACAAGATCTCAACCCAACTGAACACATGTGTAAGATTTTGGAATGGCGTTTGGATGAACTGCGTTCTATCTGTGCAGTGGAGTTCCAGAGATTTGGACAATTAATACCACAGCTCATTTAAACTGCGATGTTTCCTTTAGTTTGTCACTTGTTGCACTATGTTCTTCAGCAAAGGCAGCAATCAAAATCCAGTTTAACTCTCTGTTTGCCTTGTGGTATCTCTTTACTGTGAGCTATAAATGTGCATTCAAGGCTTCTTGAATCTGTCTTTACCGTTATGTATGACAATGAATGAAGTTCTTGACTATCTGTTACGGATTTGGGGTTTTAAGCGAAGCCACAAACCACCAGGAAACAACAGGGAATGTGGGTTTCTAACAGTTGTCTAGTTTATTTAGGGAGGAATTATGTGAATGCTGCGGTGGTGATTGCCACGATTCTTAACAAAAAGAAACATATCACAATATGTTCCTCGAACAAATCGTACATTCAGCCTTTAAATCGTGCAAATCATGTACCATAAATATGTCACATTATAATTAGTCAAACACTTTAATATTATAATTTAAGAAATCAAATCAAAGTTTGGAATAGAATGAAACTGTTAGTCACGTTGATAGTTATTTATTAGACACATGGGAAAACACCACTAAAGGTGAAGCTCTCTGGAGTCAAAGTGGAGGTCTGTTTTTTAAAGTAGGAGGTTCTACTACAAGCATACTGAGCCACCAGTGGTAGCCTCCTTGTGGAGATGAGGGTAAACAAACCTTCTGCCATTATTTTATGAAACTGCCCGTAAAAGTGGCAGGAAGAAGATAATGTAGCTTGAGAAGAGATTAAGAAGAAGAAAAGGACCACCTTCCTGGGGAACTCGGCAAATTTGCAGAATCTATCTAGGACAAAAACGCGTCGTACAAACTTCTCTCAGATCGCACGTTACCTCTAAGAAGTGTTTCCACAGATCGCAGCTTTGCATGTGAAAACCCCAGGCCAACCTCTTTACATCATGTTCTCCTTCCCAGCTTCACTCTGACAATTCAGAAGTGAAAAGACTTATTAAGGAGGGGAACCAAGGAGAGTCGAGCGTCTTATTCTGAGTCAACGCACTCTGATGATGCGGTACCTGAAGGACACACATTACCATTCGTTCTTCTCCGTACTGTCTATTTGCATTCGACACAAAAAGAAGCATGAGTAGGAGATGGGCGGAGGGAGCTGGAGGGAGGAAAAAAGTTAACACTGGCTCCTTCTAATCTACCTCTCTGCATAATTTCATAGCAGTTCACAGCGTGTCCTTGTTTTGTGTGCTGTACAAAGGAGCGGGAAAGAGTGTGCCGCGATGCTCAACACCTGCACACATGCACCGCCCGTCTCTCTTCCACCACCGACGTATCCCTCACATTGAGGAAAGGGAACAACAAGTAGGGCAGTAAGTGGCAGGCGTGCTCCCACCGTGCAAACACTGGGTGTAATTAAGCGATGCTGAGAGATAGAAATAGGGAACCGAGGGAGGAGAGGAGGGCTGATGTGCTGCAGGAATATAGAGGGAATAAAAAATGAGGCAGCTTCCATTTTCTCCTTTTTGTGTGTATAAACTTTGTTTCTCGCTCCACCTTGCTGTGTAAATTTCTTTGTCCAACCTATGGAGGTCCTTCCTTTTCAGGGACAAACCTTTACAACTCATTTTTCATTTAAACAGCAATACAATGACTGCAGGTGCCACACAAGGAAATTCTAAACATCTGGAAGAAGGGTATTTATGTTCTGAGTTAATTAAGCAACTGTCAGCTCCGTTACCTGCAAGGCTCAAAAAAATGCACATGCACAAGCTCATAAACCACTCAATGGAAGCCCGGAGATAATTACATCATCATCCAGTGACGAATGAGCTCAAAGGCTGATCCGACAGAGGTCGTCCGCAGCGAGGATTCATCAATAAACGAACCTGTTGACCGGCTCTGACCTTACAACCACAAAGCTGTTTAGATCAGTCTGCCGGCGATGAAGCCCGGCGAGCGTGGCAGGTGTAATTAATGGACGCGGGCAAGGCGGCGAAGGATCGGGGTGGAGTTTCTAGGTTGCAGCTGAATTGTCGATGTGGCGTAGGTGGTGTTGGATGACATAAAAGTGCCATTTGGTGACACGGGGTGCTAACTTGTGGGTCTTCCCTGAGGCCAGCCCCCGACTCAGGTTGTGGGCTTGATGAATGGCTGCGGAGGTGTGTGCGCGCCCCGTTAAACAAAGCTGATGCATCATCCTGTCACACACACACGCAGGCTCGTACACCCCTGTGGACCCTCCCTTCTTGTGTAATGTAATGCCGTCATTAATATCTTTAATTAGAAACAAACAGCAACCAAGTCCTGTACACCTGCTTGTTGCAATAAGACTCACACCGCCGCACACAGCAAGGAACACGAGCACGCACGAACAGTAAATTGCAAACTCTTCACCGCATTGTACTGCGTAAACTGCGGTAGGCACCACCTACTGTTGTTCAAAACTCGGTTGCCTGTAAGTGACAAGCTGCCACGGATTTCAGGCTACGCGCACACAAATGATTGTTGATTATTATTCCCATGTCAGCGTCAGCAGCTCCGGTGCTGCCTGTGTGAACCCCATGTGCACTGTGCCGCCAGAGGGGAAAACACAGACAAGCTCATATTTAATTCAAACACCCAGCGAGCATGATTCTGCCACAATCGAACTGGGGTGACAACAAGCTGATATTGAAGCTAATGCCGAGGCTTTATGGATGACAGAGCTGTGTCTGCCTTGTGGTAGGTTTGATACCGACGTTTTGGAGAGAACAGTTTAAACTTTATGGCTTTATTATCCTGACTGTGCAGCTCCTATAATCTTGGACTAATTATAATGATATGTTAAGTCAACTTATTAAGGTTGGGATGTTGTTTGCTGACTTTATAAATCAGTAGACCATATAAAAAATATGTTGAGTTACCGGTCTGTGAAGCTGCAAAGAGTCTCCAAGCAAAGACTGTCATGGCATGGAATGTGTATGATATATATTGTGTCATATTGCTGATACCAAAAACAATGTCTTTTAAAACTAGAATGACCAAATTGGGTTACAAAAAGAACCGTTTGGCCTCTGTAGCTAAATTCCCCATCCATGAAAACTGTACAGGAAGTGAATTTTCAAAAACAAAAACAGCGTCAAATTCCTTGTTTGTGTTCAGATGTTTGGACATTAAATCTAATTCTGATCAAACACAAACCTCCAGCCTTGACAGCACACAACGCTTCAAATATGGATGTTCCGGCAAAGAAGCTACAAATTCTAAAACGTGAATGCTTCACACATGCCTTCAATCTCTATTCAGTCACCACAGTTTCAAGGTTGGCACTTAAAATTGCTGTCGCCAGTTCAGCCTTCAACCAAATGTGAAATATGGTCACGATCGCTCCGTCTGTTCCTGAGTTACGGTGCT